GCCGTCAGCACGTGCAAAAGGGCGCTCCCATAGCGATAACACGTTGCTGGCTGACATGCCGATCGGACGAAAATTGGGCCTGCAGCGCTCCGTTCCCGAGCTTATTACTCGGCGAAACGAGGTCTCAGCGACACGGGGTTGCCACCAATGGATAGAGGAGAGATGGAACTACCGTATTGTAATGGTTTCATAGTATAGCACGCGCCACGTGCAAGACAGCACCCCCGGTTGTGAAAAAATGACCGATTTCGTGCATTGTGACGGGAAAATGGATGCCGCTGGAAAACGGTTTGACGGAATGAAATCGGTGTGGTACCATTTTGCAGACAAATGTACGTGTAATGATAGCAAAACAAATAAAAAGTGATGATCCGTACCATTTCCTTAATAATGAAACATTAATTGGAAAATTTGATTCTCGCGGAGCGCGATGTCCTTTACAACATCAAAACGTATTGAAAACGCTGACCAATGGCTATGAAACCTACATATTCGGAAAGAGCATTCTTTTCTGACCAATATCCACCCAAAATATTATCGAAAAGTCAATAAACTTTCGTGAAAATGACTCAAGCATGTGACCGTGTTTTGTTGACGTTACCGGTATTTTTCGACAAAATCCGATCGATGGCTTATGGCCGGCAAGTCATTCAACTTTTGACAATAGCTATCAAAGCATGGGCTGCAATACACCGCCCGCCAAGGGGAATTCCAAACACTGAAAATAAGCGCCTTCCAGTAAACAGCACATTTTTGTACTAGGAATAACTCAGCTACTACTGGGCCGATTGCGCTGAAACTTGGACTGTGGGTGGAGGGGGCACTCATCTGGCGATGCATGGTCATGTGTGACAGGTAGGGTGGATCGATTGCACGTGCGCACGTGAGGGGTCCACTTATACATCTCAAGAACGGCTGGGCCGATTTCGCTCAAATTTTGTACACCGTTAGGAACAATTTAGAAGGGTGGCTGGCACAAGTCATCTAGAGTCTCAGTTAGCGCGTGCGCACGTGCAGCGGGCCGCTTTTATATCTCAAGAACGGCTGGGCCGATTGCGCTCAAATTTGGTGCGTTACTTTAATCGAGTATGAGAAGGGTAACTATGTGTAGGTTATGAGTAAGATAGGGTATGGGTAGGTTAGGGTGGGGTAGGGTTGAGTTCAATAAAGGCAAACCATGAGAAAGGCTCTAACAACCCGCAATCAGCACCAGCATACCATGCCGTTCAAACAAATATCCAACACCGACAAAATAAGACAAATAAAAATCATAAGTTCCCACACCTAAACTAATGCCCCCTCAAACGCATCTATCAAAACGCACAGTTATAGCGCAAAACATGCCATCTAGTAAATATAATGCAAATGTTTGATGTAGCAGTGTATGCTAAGGAAGTCCATTTTGAGTTGTGCAGGAAAATGCTGAAATAAGACCTGAGTCAAAATCATTCGAATATAAATCCGACATCGAGTCAGCCTAAAAATGCGTAAGGGACACATGTCATTGCTGACGCTGAAGCTGATTTGCCCGTAACATAAAATCCAGGCCTCAAATTAACACCGGCCAAATCGCCCCACCCCACCGGCCAAATAACCCTGCTAGCGGGGCTTTGCCGCTTTGCAGACCTTTGTAAAACGACAAAATTCGGGCATAAGTAGTTGCTCTATCATTTTCTGCTTACTATATAAGAAAGTAAAATGAATGCTACACCTGTCAGCTATCCTAACCTAATAACCTAACCTAACCTCCTTCTTGCCAGGCTGCAGATGTGCGCAGCGCCAACTGGGCAGCAGCTGCACTCGCAGTCCTGCACAATCCTATCACAACGTCCCGTATCCTATCCGTATCCTTGCCATAGTATTTTACTCATCACCTCATTATCACCTCAACTGAAAAGCCACGATGCTTGTGGATGTTGTTGTATGTATAAATAAATAAAGCTCAGCATTGAGAAAGTGCAGAAGTATGTCGACAATTTCGAGCTACAGTGCTTCCTAAAAAAACGGCCAAATTACCCCATCCTCCCCTACCAAAAACCGAACCCGCTCCTTAAGCCACTGGGCACTGGACCTGCCTCAGAGGTCACCGGTTGTCTTGGGACCTTGAAATCGGGTACCAATCGCTACGTCTCGTAATGGCGCACACGCTCGTTTCAGCAAAGATACTCTTGCGTTAACTTGTCTTGGGGCCAGCCTTGTTTCGTAGGCTGAACCACAAATAGGGGCGTGGTAAGCTTCAAAAATATTTCAAGGCATTTTGGAAATAAGCTTAACCCTCGCCCGTATTGGTGTTTTTCCAGCCGCGAACGTATAAGGGGGGGGGGGGTCCGTTGGACCCCCCTTGCCGTTTCGCCCCTGATGGAGCTAGAGCTTCGCGGAAAAAACGAGCGTGCTGCCCGTGACGAGAGGGAGCCGATGATATCCAATTTTAAGGTCCTAGGTCATTGGTTGACCTTGCAGGTCAGGTCAATGACCCAAAAGTCGGGAAAATCGGGACCTGTTAGAGCGTCGTAAAGTGTGACTGCTATGGGGTTTTTCGGGGTGCTGGTCACGAATATCATGTTAGTTTTGATCACAGATGATGCCTTCATGCATTTAGTCCAGGTCGGGTCAGGTCAGGTCAGGTCAACCAGTAGGGGTCCTACCGGGTATTCCTAGTAGGTGTCAACCGCCTCTGACAGCTTCGTAACATGTTACGAAGGCACCAAAACTACTTCGTAAATGTTCATATGGTTGCTAAATTCGAATTCAGCTCCAAAAACTGGCCTAGAAACATGTAAAACTCGAAAAAGTGAACCGAGGTCATCAAAGGTCAATGACCTGACCTGACCTTCAGGTGACCTTGACACCCACCCTAATGCATGGGGGCAACACCATATCACCATTACGAACCAACGACAAGTGCTCTAAATTTTGATATTTTGTTAAGAGACCATATTGACAAAAATTGGCGCTTGAGCTGAAATTTCGTCTGCCAAAATTTCAAGCTAATTGGACAAAAATTAAAGAAATTATCGCCGAAAAACAGGGTCTCATGGGGTCTGAAATGCATAGTAGACGGTTTCCAAACGGCCTGAAATTTCAGGCGGTTTGCATAGTGCATACAGTCTCGAATTTCAGCCCGTATTCAAACGGCTTGACTTTTCAGTCCGTTTGCATGTTCTGACTAGGCTGTCCAGGCCGTTTGCAAACGGCCGGAATCGGACCAGGCCGTTTGCAAACGGACTGAGTTTTCATACAGCCTGTAACCTATAGACCTTAAGATCACCCGTCTCGTGATCGAAAGGTCCCGGGTTCGCAACCGGCCGCCCGTTGAAATTTTTGGCCCGTTTTAGGTTTGTAGGTGGTGGGTTGCAGGCTAGGTCAGGTTTGGTTTGGTTTGGTTTGCTTTGCTTTGCTTGGAAAGAAGCATTTACAGGTATAGCGCCTCTCCTTGGTTGCAAAAACAAAACACGCTGCTCAGTGCTCAAATACCCAACGCCTCCCCCCTCCCCCCCAGCAGGGCGTTGCACAAACAATTGCTGTATTTGCATATTGGCTGTGATTTGCATTTGAAGTTTTTCTTCCATGAATAATATAACATTGTTTTAGCCTGACCTAATGCATTCTCACCATAGCATTGCTCTTACGATGCTATACAGGGTGTCCCAGAATTGACCGAACACTGTTAACCAGCGTATAACATGAGGACAAAATAATTGCACATTTTTCCTTTTTATCGTATGATATTGTCAACTAGGCCAGCAACGAAATTAGACATGCAATGGACACGTTATCTACAAGATTAGCCGGCAATTTCGGATAAATGCAAGCCCATGCTGGTTTTCGCTGGTTTTCGGGTCTCCCGAAACTGGTTGTAGGCCGATTTTGATTGACCTCTTGCAGGAGGATACCACATATATTTCTATTAAATTTATATCCAAACTGTTCCCAGGTCATAAGGCATTCTCCCCCAAAACAAAAAATCCTGCCTGCAAAACTGTTGCGTTGTTTTTGACATCGGAAGTGGAGAACCTCCATGCCTGAACATGGCGCGACCTTTGGCTTCCCGCAGATTTGGTTTCCAAAACAAACCCGTTCATGGCCAATCGTTTGACGGCAACCAGTTTTTGTAATGCTATAATATAACCGCAGTGATACTCTCCGTGAACAGTCCTGTTTGGAGCATCACATGAAACTGAATGAGTGCACCGTGGCTCAAAATGTCTCACGCTTTAATTTTCGATGGGTGCCTGGCCGTCTCCGCTGTCGTAGCGCTGTGGTCATCTGTCGTCCACACACGACTTTTTTGGTGGTGCAAAGGGCACAGTACCCCAATAGGATATTCTATTCGTAATGCCACGAAATGTGTTTCAGCTCACTTTTTTGTTAAAAATAATAGGCTTTTTGGCTAATTTGCAGCGATTTGCGCTGCCCTTTCGTTAGTTTTGGCATATTTTCCATTTCAGAGGCCCCAAATTCCAACATTTTGTCGACGATAGGGGTGAAAAGTAGACTGATGTTTTCCTGCTTGCAAATGAGCTGCCGGAGCTTTCCAGCAACAACCACGCCGAAAGTCCGTTTACAAAGTTCAGAACTTCACTTGATTCACCATGCCTGCCTTTTGGCGGCTTATGGCTAAAAACGGAAATGGACTACTATTTGCTCACTCTGGATAATAATTGACTCGAGTCGAGACCGTTCATCAAAAGCATACAGTCTTCAAGCTCGATAGCTAAGGGATGTCTTACAAACGTATGATGCTCCTATCTCATTAGAATCGAGCGCAATCGTACTTTTGGCCAGAAAATAAGTGTTCGGTCAATTCTGGGACACCCTGTAGGTCACAATACCCGCCACATGACAAAACTTGCTTCTTTTGCCCATATAAGAAACTGTGAGTTTTTTTATACCTTCAGCGAGAGGAATGCGGCTAAAAAGTAGCATCTCTAGCTCCTAGCCGTACTAAATGTCTGTTATGTGCGCATTGCCTTCCTGAACCAGGCGTCGTCCTGTTGCAGCTTGCCACGATGTACTGCCTTCAGTGGCTCATACCGGTGCTGCTCATACCGAAGCCTCTGAACCCGGCAATGCTTCACAACCACATCATGTTCGTCATACTCTACCTGGTTGGCTTTTTCTTGGAGAAGAAGCCCTGCACCATCTGCAGTCTGGTGTTTTTCGCAGCGGTCCTCTTGATTTGCTATTCCGGCATCGGTAACTGCCTATTCTGGGGCACCAACTGCGACTCGGTTGTCTGTGACAACGGCTAGTGTGGGGTGCCGAGATGGGCGGCAGGGCGCGGCGCTCGCCGGTACAACGGCTAGTGTGGGGTGCCGAGATGGGCGGCAGGGCGCGGCGCTCGCCGGTACTTGTGATACACGATGTGGTCTGGGCCGACGTGCCCGGCTGGTGGCGGCACCGGTCTCCTGGCGACCACCGGTCCAGCTGGTCGCCAGGCCGCCTCGCCGTATGACCTGTGCTGAGATGTTTGTGGGAAGGTTGTTTGCGACTGTGTATGTATATCCAACTGAGCCTAGTCTTGATCTGTGAAGTGCGGCGACGTGAAGCGAGAGTCGGTGTACCTGCTTCGGACGGCTGTGCTCTAGTGTTGCGGCTCGAGTATTGTGGCGCTGGGATGGACTCCATCCGGCCCGATGGCCGCCATTGAACCGACCGGGCGGGGCCAGCCTGCAGGCACTGCCAAACCAGTCAGCACCGTCTTTCGTCTCCCCCACCAGACAAATGTTCTGATCCCCGATATCTAGGCGTCATACTTTTGAGATGTAAATGTTGGCGTGTCTGAGTTGTGTCTCGTGGTCCATAAGAGCTGGCTGTTATTTCTGGGCTCTCATTGACCTGAGACGAATCCCATTGCTTTTCGTACCTACGTGCTAGACTGATGATGCGTGCTGGTTCAGTGTCTTGAGAGAGCCATTAGAAGTGGACTTATCCTTTTTCATTCACGTGTGAGCGACAACTTAAACTGCTCTGACGTAATACACATCATTCGTCTTGCGTCTGTCAGTATTAGTGCAAACTGTGTGCGCGGATGACCATCGCTTTTATTAAAGGGACCCTCCCACCTTCAAAAAAGTTAATGAATTGGCATGAAAGTAATGTCGCTCAATTCAGAAAGAGCAAAAACGGATATCTACCAAATTTCACCGAAAAATATTCACCGGTTTTCAAGATATTAGACTTTTACTTTTGTTTACTTTTTTGGGATCTCCGCTGTTCCTAGCGACTTCATTTTGGAAGTGCGGCGTTCGCGGCAGATGTTGCGCGCAAATAGCATATACCACCACTGCTTTACAAAGATGTTAGTATAAGGTTTTAAAATCGTTAGATCACCGCTGACGTCACAAATTCTAAGGGGGCATCTCAATGCATTAGCCCCTTAGAATCCGAAAACTGCAAGTTTGAAATTCCATATCTCCGAATTAAAGCATTTTTCGATGTTGTGAGTGCCCAAACCGGTATTTGCAGGCCATGGCCACCAATTTGGCTATCTCAACTCAAAACTAATGTTAAGGTGGGATGGTCACTTTAACAGAAAGGCAAAGAAATAAAAAAGTTAAAGGAAACAGTTCACTTTCCTGAAATTAGTATTTTGCTATGGATTTACGATTTTTTATGCTCAAAATGATCAGAAAATAAAATAAAACCTTTTTGTAAAAACAATTATTTTCTATATTTTAATATAGGACGAACTATATTCTATGTAAAATAATGTTTGACGCGGAAGCTTATTACGCGTTGACCAATCATATTGCGTAGTTCAAACCTACGCATGCTGCTTTAGCTGTAAGCAGCATGCTGATTGGCTGACGATGACGTGGCTGCATTCCTGTGCAAGGCACACATTCCTCTGCAAGGCACTCTTTTCGGAACGAGAAATGGAATATCTTCGTCTAGGGTGATCGTTGAGCCGTAAAAGCTCCTGATTTGTGCTAGTCTCAGCTCAAGCTACGAAACTGCTATTCCAGTTCAAAATCCCATGTTAAAAGTGAACTATTTCCTTTAATTGTATTCCACACTTGGGTAGGTACAAGAAAAGAGTAGCGCTGTCGGTGACGAGTTCGCTGGACGTCCGGGTTTGCATCATACTTACATAAACCCACATAACTTATCGGATTACGATATAAATTTTTGAAGGTGGGAGGGTCCCTTTAAGGCCTTGATTGAGCAGATTGGTGTCTTTTGTTTCGCACGGCAATCGTCCGGAGGCGTGGGAACTGGGGGTTATGGGTAGTGCGGCAGCCAACGCCCCAATTTAAAGCGATTATTATTGTTGCTCTAAAATGTGGTCGCAGCCACCAATAGCAAACCGTTCCAAATAGGAGCAAAAAGGTCGGACACCTAGGAAGGTTCGAACCGGGCTTCCCCCACCGGTCAGTTCACGACACTAGCGTCCATCCACTGAGCTGCCGAGAACGGTCCTCATCTGCACAAAACAAAATGATATGCACCCGCTGACCGCCAGTGACGTTTTGTGACATTTGACCGCGTTTGACCGCAGCGACCAGTCACTGGTCTCGGCAGCTCAGTGGATACACGCTAGCGTCGTAGGGTGACCGGTTGGAGAAGCCCGGTTCGAACCCTCCCAGGTGCGCGGATTATTTGTTCCTAGTTAGAACAGTTTGCTATTGGTGGCTATGACCACACATTAGAGGAACAGTAAGATTTGTTTAAAGTTGGCTGCCGCGCTATCCAAAAACCCCAGTTCCCACGTCTCTGGACGATTGCTGTGCGAAATTATAGACACCAATGAGCTCAATCATTTTTTTTTCGTCGCGATCGGCCCAGTAGTTCCTGAGTTATAGAATGGCTGCCATAGGCCACAACGGTCATGTGACCTCCCAAGGTCACCGAGGTCACCTGAGGTCACCATATTCGAAACGGCTGATGAAATCGCATACGCTGAATCGACTGGTGGTGTTTTCGTCACGATCGGCCCAGTAGTTCCTGAGTAACAGAATGGCTGCAATAGGCGAAAACGTAAAGTCGACCTTTTGAGGTCACGAGGTCACCTGAGGTAACCATATTCGAAACGGCTGATGAAATCGCATACGCTGAATCGACTGGTGGTGTTTTAGTCACGATCGGCCCAGTAGTTCCTGAGTTATAGAATGGCTGCAATAGGGGAAAACGTAAAGTTGACCTTTTGAGGTCACCGAGGTCACCTGAGGTCACCATATTAGTGATGGCTGATGAAATCGCATACGCTGATTCGAATGGTGGTGTTTTCGTCACGACCGGCCCAGTAGTTCCTGAGTTATAGAATGGCTGCAATAGGGGAAAACGTAAAGTTGACCTTTTGAGGTCACCGAGGCCACCTGAGGTCACCATGTTCTAAGAGGCTGATGAAATCGCATACGCTGATTCGACTGGTGGTGTTTTCGTCGCGATCGGTTCATTTGTTCCTGAGTTATAGAATGGCTGCAATTGGCGTCAATGCCGAGTTGACCTCTTGAGGTCACCGAGGTCACCTGGGGTCATGAGCTTCGAAACGGCTGATAAAATCGTACCCCCTGATTCGAATGGTGTTTCGTTCGTTCCGACCGGTCCAGTAGTTCCTGAGTTATAGAATGGCTGCAAGGGTGGCGGTCGAATAGTGTTGTGTTGTCCAAAAAGCCGGAGCGTACCCCTCTGCATATGTCATGTCCTTGGTCATGTCGTTGATGTCGTTTGCTTTTACGGGACGCGTATATTCGAATCCAGTATGAGTAGAGCATGGGTCCCGAAAAATTCTTCAGAAACTAGAGAAATTCTCGCGGGGCAGGACGTCTGTCAAACTAGCAGCGAGCAGCGAGCAGCGAGTCCAGCAGCGAGAAACGGGCCATCCCGATTTAGCGGAAAATTTGCTCACAGAGCCTTCTCAGCACGCTGATTCCGAAAATCATGGTCTCTAGGGTGGGAATCTTTACCGTTCTCGAGATAGAACCCTCTAAAGTTTTCGACACCCATGACCGGGCCATCCCGATTTGGCTGAGAATTGGCTCACAGAGCCTTCTCAGCACACTGACTCCGAAAATCATGGTCTCTAGAGTGGGAATCTTAACCGTTCTCGAGATAGAACCCTCTATAGTTCTTACCACCCATGACCGGGCCATCCCGATTTGGCTGAAAATTTGCTCACAGAGCTTTCTCAGCACGCTGATTCCGAAAATCATGGTCTCTAGGGTAGGAATCTTTACCGTTTTCGAGATAGAACCCTCTAAAGCTCTTACCACCCATGACCGGGCCATCCCGATTTGGCTAAAAATTGGCTCACAGAGCCTTCTCAGCACGCTGATTCCAAAAATCATGGTCTCCAAGGTGGGAATCTTTACCGTTCTCGAGATAGAACCCTCTAAAGTTTTCGGCACCAAAGACCGGGACATCCCGATGTGACTGAAAATTGGCTCACAGAGCCTTCTCAGCAAGCTGATTCCGAAAATCATGGTCTGTAGGGTGAGAATCTTTACCTTTCTCGAGATAGAACCTCTAAATTTCTTACCAGGCCATGACCGGGCCATCCCGATTTGACTGAAAATTTGCTCACAGATCCTTCTCAGTTCTCAGCACGCTGATTCCGAAAATCATGGTCTCTATAGGGTGGGAATCTTAACCGTTCTAAAAATAGAAACCTCTAAAATTTTCGACACCCATGACCGGGCCATCCCGATTTGGCTGAAAATTGGCTCACAGAGCCTTTTCAGCATGCTGATTCCGAAAATCATGGCCTCTAGGGTGGGAATCTTTACCGTTCTCGAGATAGAACCCTCTAAAATTCTTACTACCCATGACCGGGCCATCCCAATTTGGCTGAAAATTTGCTCACAGAGCCTTCTCAGCACGCTGATTCCGAAAATCATGGTCTCTAGGGTGGGAATCTTAACCGTTCTCGAGCTAGAACCCTATAAAGTTTTCGACACCAAAGACCGGGCCATCCCGATTTGTCTGAAAATTTGCGCACAGAGCCTTCTCAGCACGCTGACTCCGAAAATCATGGTCCTAGAGTGGGAATCTTTACCGTTCTCGAGATAGAACCCTCTACAGTTCTTACCACCCATGACCGGGGGCGGGCCATCCCGATTTGGCTGAAAATTTGCTCACAGAGCCTTCTCAGCACGCTGATTCCGAAAATCATGGTCTCTAGGGTGGAAATCTTTACCGAAAACTTTAGAGGGTTCTATCTCGAGAAGGGTAAAGATTCCCACCCTAGAGACTATGATTTTCGGAATCCGCGTGCTTAGAAGGCTCTGTGAGCAAATTTTCAGCCAAATCGGGATGGTCCGGTCTTTGGTGTCGAAAACTTTAGAGCGTTCTATCTCGAGAACGGTGAAGATTCCCACCCTAGAGACCATGATTTTCGGAATCAGCGTGCTGAGAAGGCTCTGTGAGCAAATTTTCAGCCTAATCGGGATGGCCCGGTCATGGGTGGTAAGAATTTTAGAGGGTTCTATCTCGAGAACGGTAAAGATTCCCACCCTAGAGACCATGATTTTCGGAATCAGCGTGCTGAGAACTGAGAAGGATCTGTGAGCAAATTTTCAGCCAAATCGGGATGGCCCGGTCATGGGTGGTAAGAAATTTAGAGGGTTCTATCTCGAAAACGGTACAGATTCTCACCCTAGAGACCATGATTTTCGGTATCAGCTTGCTGAGAAGGCTCTGTGAGCCAATTTTCAGTCAAATCGCGATGGCCCGGTCTTTGGTGCCGAAAACTTTAGATGGCTCTATCTCAAGAACGGTAAAGATTCCCACCCTAGAGACCATGATTTTCGGAATCAGCGTGCTGAGAAGGCTCTGTGCGCCAATTTTTAGCCAAATCGGGATGGCCCGGTCATGGGTGGTAAGAGCTTTAGAGGGTTCTATCTCGAGAACGGTAAATATTCCCACCCTAGAGACCATGATTTTCGGAATCAGCGTGCTGAGAAGGCTCTGTGAGCCAATTTTCAGCCAAATCGGGATGGCCCGGTCATGGGTGTCGAAAACTTTAGAGGGTTCTATCTCGAGAACGGTAAAGATTCCCACCCTAGATACCATGATTTTCGGAATCAGCGTGCTGAGGAGGCTCTGTGAGCAAATTTCAAGCTAAATCGGGATGGCCCGTTTCTCGCTGCTGGACTCGCTGCTCGCTGCTCGCTGCTAGTTTGACAGTCGTCTTGCCCCGCGAGAATTTCTCTAGTTTCTGAAGAATTTTTCGGGACCCATGCTCTACTCATACTGGATTCGAATAAACGCGGCGCGCCGGTGAAAACAGGGCGCCTGAGGGCATATTAGTCACGTGACATTTGGAACTTCTCCCGCTCCATGGGCCTTCTATATGCCAAACGTCACGTGTAAATTTCACGAACCTTGATCAAATCGCCCCAGGCGCCCTGTTTTCACCGGGGTGGGACTAAATGCTTACTTCGAAATCTAAGCTGCGTTGCGGCATTGGCGGTTATGTGCGGCGTGTATGCCGCATGATTAGCAAGCGGCGACCACTAAATTAAAGACTCAAACGCTCCGACCGGTTCTCAATGAATAACACTGCATACCAAAAATGCCAACCGCTCTCGTCATAAGATATTTAGCTTTAAATAACTAGGTTATCTACATCATCATTTTGAACCAAATTAATACTTTCAACTTAACTCACTCATTCCTTCCTTTGTTGGCTCCAAACAGTCTTTCGATTGTCTGGAAATCGTATGCTAAATCCCGTACCTGTATGCGACTGGTGCATATAAAGGCCGATAAAAGAATTTGAATAGGCTCTGGCATGCGATTTCCTGGCTACCCAAAAAAGTCTGTTTCAGACGCTATCAAAACGTGACCTCGCCCGCACAGGGGGGGAGGGGGGGGGGGTTGATGCAACCCCCCTAAGGTTTTTCGCGAATAACTCGCTTAAAAAGCGGCTGATCGCGACGAAACTTTCAGTACCCTCGCATTTATCAATTTAACACCCATCCTGAAAATTTCATGACCCTGACCCAAATGACCTTTGACCTGTGACCTACTTTTCGAGACCATGTTTGGCCGGAACCGCGATTCAGCGTATGTCGGCTCGCATTAGCAGCGCGTTTGCAGTCTTTTCGTGGTTTCAAGCGTTCAAACATGTGATATGATGTTGCCCCCATGCATTAGGGTGGGTGTCAAGGTCACCTGAAGGTCAGGTCAGGTCATTGACCTTTGGTGACCTCGGTTCACTTTTTCGAGTTTGACATGTTTCTAGGTCAGTTTTTTTCGAGCTGAATTCGAATTAAGCAACCACATGAACGTTTACAAAGTAGTTTTGGTGCCTTCGTAACATGTTACGAGGCTGTCAGAGGCGGTTGACACCTACTACAAATACCTGGCAGGACCTCTACTGGTTGACCTGACCTGGCCTAACCCGACCTGGCCTAAATGAATGAAGACATCATCTGTGATCAAAACTAGCATGATATTCGTGATCAGCACCCCGAAAAACCCCATAGCAGCCACACTACGACGTTCTAACAGGTCCCAATTTTCCCGCCTTTTGGGTCATTGACCTGACCTGGGAGGTCAACCGATGACCTAGGACCTTAAAATTGGGTATCATCGGCTTTCTCTCGTCACGGGCAACACGCTCGTTTTTTCCGCGAAGCTCTAGCTTGATCAGGAGCGAAACGGCAAGGGGTTATACCTTATACGTTCGCGGCTGAGTATTAATTTGGTTCAAAACAATGATGTAGATAAGTTAGTTATTTAAATCTAAATATCCTATGACGAGAGCGATGGACATTTTTGGTATGCAGTGTTATCCATTGAAAACAGGTCAAAGCTATCGAGTTTTTAATTTAGTGGTCGCCGCTTACTAATCGTGCGGCATACACGCCGCACATAACCGCCAATGCCGCAACGCAGCTAGATTTCGAAGTAAGCATTTACCCCGCGTTCGATGTCTCTCGGACGACGAAGATTCTACGTCGTCCGGCCAATCCCGTCCAAGGTCAGCGGGGGCTCGGCTGCGGTTCTGGAACGTGATTGGCCGGACGGCGTAGAATCTTCGCCGTCCGAGAGACATCGAACGCGGGGTTAGTCTCACCCTTTTCACCGTCGTCCCTTTTACGGCCTTGGCCGCGCAGTCTTCCACGTGAGACGGCGGCAACGTTCGCGGGACGACGGTGAAAACAGGGCGCCTGGGGCGATTTGATCAAGGTTCGTTAAATTTACACGTGACGTTTGGGATATAGAAGGCCCATGGAGCAGGAGAAGTTCCAAATGTCACGTGACTAATATGCCCTCCGGCGCCCTGTTTTCACCGGCGTCCCGTTCGCGGGCGCAGGTAAGAGAACTGCATCAAAAAACATGTTTACAACCGATAAAAACAGGCTTTTGGTATGGCGATTGAGTTGGGACTTCTGGAATCAAAATATGGAGGCATCAATAATTTTATTCTGGTGGGAGGATTGTTGTTGTTTTGGTTTAGGGCGCGTAGCAGCTTGGCTCTTGCGTCCAACCTGGTGTGAGGGAGGAGCCATGATCAAATATGATCATGGAATGAATTTTTTGATTCATTTCAATTTGGGAACACTTTTGATTTCAAATTATCGTTGCGGTTGAAAAAAGGGTAAAAGTATACATTAAGTCTGAGTGACTGTTAAAAGATAAAGTTTTCATATTCTTACATTATTTGACATCCTGAATCCAAAAATGATACTTATATGTCCTGGAAATAAAAGAAAAACAACCAAACCTGACCTAACCTTACCTATTTACCTACAACCTACCAACCTATAACCTACAAACCTACAACCTAAAACCTACAAACCTACCAACCTAAAACCTAAAACCTACAAACCTACAACCTAACCTAACCTAAAACCTAAAATTTTTGCTGTTACATATTTGTATCAACAGCGTCACAATTGTCCACTCGGACCTAATATATACTAATACCGAAAAAAGGGTATTCTCTTAGCAGACGTCACCCGAGCTGCCATATCCAGTTAGGTAGGTTGGTAGGTTAGGTTGTAGGTTGTAGGTTGTAGTTTGGTTGGTTAGGTTGTAGGTTGTAGGTTGTAGGTAAGGTTAGGTCAGGTTAGATTATGTTTTGTTATATATTTAACCGTGAAAAGACAATTGTTGCGCACGTGAGACGTAGATATGGCAGCTCGGGTGACGTCTGCTAAGAGAGTACCGAAAAAAGACCCATGACGGCCAGATTTTTCTTTAAATAGGTAGAAAAATGTGGTAGGTAAGAAAAAAGTGTTACCTCAAAACTAAGAAATTGTTACTTTCACTTTGGCCTTGTGAATGGGAGAAAGACAGAGCCACTTGTCTATCATGTAAGAGCTGTTTTGGGAAAATCACACTGTATGTTATTTTTGAATCATGAATCACATAGGTACCTAGCAAGTAGTATTTGTGTAAAATGGCAAAATGAAATTTTCAAACCCCTAATTTTCATTGTTGTAGTGCTTTTATACTTATTATATGGTTTTTACCTGTTGCTTCAGTTTTGTATTCTTGACATTTAAATTATGTAAATTGTTATACATAAGTACCTCGGCATAGAAGGGCGACGGGGCATCGCCATTTTTGTCAAATCACAACTGAGAGCAACAGAGGTGTGCTTTCCCACTTGTTCACTGGTGCAACACCTATGGATAAGGATACCCCTCCGCAGCCCCGACCAGCTGATTGTGGGCTGTGTCTACCGTAGTCCCTCAGTGAATGGCTTTGCATCAACTAGCAGGCTTATCGACATCTTGAAGGCCTGCACATCATCAAACTCCTCGCATGTTCTAGTTGTAGGTGACATCAATATGCCGCAGATCGACTGGGTCTCAAACTTCTCGTATGCTCCAGACCATCACTTCACCCACGAGTTTATCGAGGGAATACAAGAATGTGGTCTGTTCCAACATGTCACAAAACCTACCAGATATCGAGCAGGCGAGAATCCAAGCACTCTAGATGTCATACTGTCTAATGAAGAGGGGTGATAAAGAACTTAGTCTTTCTCCCCCCAGTGGGCAACAGCGACCACATAGTGCTGAAATTCGATGTCACCTGTTATGCACAGAGGGTGGAACCAACTTCAGTTCATTTGAACTATAGAAAGGGCAACTTCCAACAGCTAAACGATTTAACCCTCGCCGGCCGAGGGGGGGGGGGCGGGTGCCGCCCCCCCATAGGGTTTTTTCGCGATAGCTCCGAACACGCCGGCGGTAGAGAGCTGAAACTTGGCATACCTGACCTTTGATCCAAGCCGCATCTTTTGACACCAACCGCATTTTTGGGTCAGGTCAGGTCACTGACCTATGACGTCATAAGTGAACCTCTGCACGGTCTTCAGATGTCGCAACTTCGCAACGCCCTCACTGCCAGAGGAGATGTCACAGGGAAATGAAACTTGCAGGATCTAGTACCCATTATGAGTCTCACAACTTGTATATCTCGGATTTTTCCTAAAGGTCATATGAGGTCAGGTCATTTTCGTGACCTCACCATTATAAGTCAATGGGGAAAAATCCAAACTGCTATTCTGGCGCCGGGAACGATCTCCAACTATCTCAAGCACACAGAATCGTGATTTGATGCACTCCTTGCAAGGTTAGATGCGTCACTTTTGCAATGTTGACCTTTCGTGACGTCATTTATGACGTCATCAAGGTCATATTAGTTTTTCGTTAATAACTCTTGATCAAATTGAGCTAGCGAGCCGGGAAAGCCACCAATGGACTCGGGAAGACCTGCCGAATCCAATGATATGCGACATGACCCCTTTCGACCAACTTCGTGACCTTAGGGTGCTGACCTGACCTTGACCTGAGGTCAACACCCCAAGTTGACCTGACCCGAACAAAAAGTATATCATTCGACGCGCCTGAGTGAGGCGAACACGATGCTGCCAAAATCGCGGCTCTGCGGCCATTTTCCGCGAAGTTATTCACCAAAAACTGAACCGTACCTTTGGGCACTTGACCTGACCTCAGAGGTCACCGGTTGACCTAGGACCTTAAAATCGGGTACCAATCTCTGCGTCTCGTAACGGCGCACACGCTCGTTTTTTCCGCGACGCGCTAGCTCCACCAGGGGCGAAACGGCGAGGGGGGGGGGGTCGTACCCGCCCCCCCCCCCTCGGCCGGGGCGTATGTAGAAAACCAATAGGTCCGGCGAGGGTTAATACGTAGTACAGTCTGGGAGGATGTAGTTCCTGTGGACCCTCAGCGACGCTTTGAGGTTTTCAAGACCACACTACATTGTCTCACGTCTAGATGCATTCCAAGGGCTTGCCCAGCAAAGAAACGTCGCAATCTTTACATGGATAGAGAAGCTCTGCGCCTGAAGAACAGGAAAAGGAAGCTATGGAGTATTTATATACGCTCACGGGATGAAATAAGCTACTACCGATACAGACGCTGCAAGAACGACCTGAGGCGACTTACGCGCAATCTTCGCCAAAACTACGAGCAGAAACTCGTCACCAACCTTAAGAACAACCCAAAGGCGTTTTGGCGTTATGCTGCATCAAGGCTGAAGTCACGCACTGGAGTTGAAAACCTACGCACAGAGGACGGTAACCTGACTTCCAATGACCAGGAGAAGGCTGGAGTCTTAAATCGATTCTTTTGCTCAGTCTGCACATTTGAAGACTCTGAAGATATCCCAGTCCCGATAAGCTTGCACGAAGGACCAACGGTCGACGACGTTGAACAGTGGGTCTCGTCAGGAACAAGTTGGCCCAGCTGAAACCCTACTCTGCTGCGGGCCCAGACGAGATTCACCCCCGGATTCTTCGCGAGACAGCCGACACCATCTCTCCGCACCTCGCCACCATCTTGAAGGAATCCTTAGACACGGGGGTTCTCCCACTAGACTGGAAGCTCGCAAACGTTGTGCCAATCTACAAGAAGGGCCAGAAGGACGACCCTGGGAACTACAGACCAGTGAGTCTTACCTCCGTGCCTTGTAAGGTCTGGAGTCAATAATCAGGGACCAACTTATGACACATCTTCAGTCCGAAAACCTCCTCAGTGACGCTCAACACGGCTTCAGGCCCGGAAGGTCGTGCGCCACCCAACTGCTCCAAGCAATCGAAGAGTGGAGCGGCTGGATCGAGAAAGGAGAGCCAGTTGATGTCCTCTACTTGGATCTGGCTAAGGCTTTTAACACTGTCCCACATAGGAGGCTCATCGCGAAGGTAAAATCCCATGGGATTGGAGGCAAACTACTTCGATGGATTGAAGCCTTTCTCTCAGAACGCCAGCAGCGGGTCACAGTTGAGGGCTGTCGATCGGGATGGGCACCGGTACCCAGCGGAGTCCCACAAGGCTCAGTGCTGGCCCCTCTCCTGTTCGTGCTCTTATCAACGACCTCCCAAGAGCTCTACACTGCGGAGTCAAGATATTCGCGGATGACAGCAAGCTGTACCGTTCGGTTCACGCCCCATCTGGCCCTCTAGCCCTTCAGAGGGACCTGGACGCTGCATCATGCTGGGCGGATGAATGGAAGCTGGAATTCAATGCTGGCAAGTGCAAGGTCCTACACATTGGTCGTCAGAACTCCCAGCAAGCCTATCATCTGAAGGGCACTCGAACGGAACAGGTGACGGCAGAAAAGGACCTGGGAGTCTTCATAGACACATAATTGAAGTTCTGGCAACAAGCCGCCGCGACAGTCAGCAAGGCGTCGCGGATACTCTCCACGATACAGAGGTCGTTCCAGCTGTTTGATAAGTCTACATTACCCCTGCTGTTCAATACCCTGGTCCGACCCCACCTCGAATACGGGAACATTGTGTGGGGCCCCTTCAACCGGACGGATCAGAAACGTGTGGAGCGCATCCAGCGGCGGGCGACCAAGAAGGTTCCGGAGCTGCGACATCTGCCCTACACTGAGAGACTGCAGGCGCTGAAGATGCCATCCCTGTACTACCGTCGGAGGCGCGGCGACATGATAGCGGTGTACCAGATGCTTCATGGTGGTGTCGTCCTGGAATCGCACGACTTCTCCGACCGCTCAACCGCCCGTGAAACCAGAGGCCACTCGTGGCGCCTGGTGAAGCCGCGTGCGGTCACCAGAGTCCGACGCAACGCCTTCTCCGTCAGGGTTATCAACGGCTGGAACGGCCTGCCATCGGAAGTCGTCGACGCCTCTACACTCAACCAGTTCAAGAACCGCCTAGACACCCACTGGGCAAACCTCGTATACACGATAACATACACAGACTAGTAAAACTCACACCAAGCAGCTCGACTGGAACGGACATAAAGGCCAAGTGGCCTATCTAAATTCTGTACTTCTAAGTAAGTAAGTAAGTAAGTTATAGAATGTAGTGAAGGTAAAGTACAACAACGCTATAGGTATCTGTTGTGGTCCTCAAGGCTCAAGATACCACTAAATGAGAATGATAGCAAGATAAATGCTGTATTCTTGCAAGCCATTGTTGCCTATCTGTTAACATTACCTGTGAATCAAAATAATGATTAGCCAGCAGAGCATGGAATCAATATTTTGATTATCTGTCGAGAGTGAATCAATTTATTGATTGCCTTTCACTACCCTTAAAAGTCAGATTACTATGATTAAAGCAATATTATTGCGCTCAGTAGAAAGTTCCAACATTCATTTCTGTTCAACATTAGGCATGTTCCTTCTTGAAACACTGGCTTATTTTTAACACTGGCTGGCTAGATGAAACACTAGCTGGATGGCATGTTTTGCGCTTTAACCCACGAGTTGCTGGGGGGGGGGGGGGCGTTAAACGCCCCCACTTTTTTCGCCGGGCCATAGCATAAATTTTGGGTACCTGTAGGGAATTGATTGAACTTTATTTTGACAAAGTTTCAAAAAAATCGGTCGGAAAAATTTTGAGATATCGAGGTTTTAGTGACGTCATGATTTCTGAGTTTTCGACCAAAAACGGCATATGTTCAAAAAATCATATAAAATCACAGAATAGACATATAGACATGCCGTAAACGCCATTAGACTGCCAATACCATGAACAATCAAATGGCTATCTTCGATTATTGATTATCGTTCCGCATTTTCCAAATTCTTGAACTGAAACTTTGCAATTTCTCGTGACTACTTGACGACCATGATACATGCATTTCTTAAATTGAACTTTTTGAGCCAAACACGTACACATATGATACAATGAATGTCACCATCGTGTTCTACGCCCCAAATTACCCATAAAACATGTGTCACGGGCTGCGAATATCAGTTTTGATTTTTGGGGATATGTGCCTACCCGGTTGACCTGACCTTGACCCTGACCTATGCTTGACTGACCCCTACATGGAGCTGACACTCTTGTAGGCCTTATATGATGGATTGTGCACCGTTTTGACAGAGTTTATGACGAGAGGCGCCCATTGCGAAGTCCTGAAGTCCATGCTACTGAAAGCCCGATTTCAGGTGTTTGACCTGACCTTGACCCGACCTGTGACCTCACAATTCAACTTTAAAGTACTCATCTGATGCGTCTCGTCGCGTTCTTTCGTTTGCCGCCTCTTGCGTTTCGCTGCGCCTATTGGGTCTCGAGTTATCGGCTGGGGGCGTTTAACGCCCCCCCCCCCCAGCAAACGGTGGGTGGCGAAATACCCCAGCAACTGCCAGGTTAACTGTGCGTTTTGATAGATGCATTTGATGGGGCATTAGTTTGGGTGTGGGAACTTATTATTTTTATTTGTCTTATTTTGTCGGAGTTGGATATTTGTTTGAACGGCATGGTATGCTGGTGCTGGTTATGGGTTGTTAGAGCCTTCCTCATGGTTTGCCTTTATCGAACTCGAACCCACCCTACCCTACCCTAACCTACCCATACCCTACCTTACTAATAACCTACACATAGTTACCCTTCTCATACTCGATTAAAGTAACGTACCAAATTTGAGCGCAATTTATCGTCCTCACTGGATCCTAGCCAACCCTAATTTTCCGGCGATTTTTCATGGGTTGTTTTAACCCGTCCTAGCCCCCCAACAAACAAACACACAAATACTGTTAGATACTATTTGTGACCTGAGATGACCTCCGGGACATAACGAGGGGTCACGGGTGCCATTTGCCGGTTCATTGTGTCAATTTGACCTGCATCCCGATGTTTGAGACTGTCTATGGCGTTCGTGCAAAAGAGACGCTTTTCAATTTTCTCCTATTGACTTATAATGGAGGGGCCGCAAAATTGACCTGACCTTAGGTCACCGATATCAAAATTCCGAGATATACGTTTTATTGATACTGTTGCTCTTATCGAGTGCTGAAAGTTTCAAGGCAATCGTTCAGTTGGTGTAGCCATGACGAGCATTCTATTTTTTTCTGAGTTGAGGTCACTTGGCGTGACCTTGTGGCCTGACCTGAGGACCTGGGTCTGGAATTTTCACAACATGTGCGGAAAAGATGCACAAAGAGGTGTGCCAAAAAACGGCGGCACTCTGCGCCGCCGTTTTTGAGATATCTGCGAAAAACCGCAGGGGGGAAGTGTACAAACACCCTCCCCCCGGCCCGGCGCGGGTTAACAGTGCGGTTGGTGCCTCGGGCCAAGGCCATCTATAGAAGGTACAGTCACTCCCCCGCCGACCAATCAGAGACAGATCCTGAGTGACGTCACCCCAGATGCTTGCAAGGGGTACTCCATTCCTTTGCAACGTAAAAATGACTAACTTCATTTGAAGATTATTGATGGCACTCTGCACATACCGCTCAGCCGTTGATGTCAATGGAAAGCCCAACTAATTTTCCAGCGACAAAAAAAGAGCAGCAATATGCTAAGAAATGGCCGGTTTTGAAGATATAGACGATTTAAAAACCCTCTACAGCAGCAGGAAAGCAACGTAAAAACGCATCGAGCTTATATTTTTACTATGGGTAAATCATTCTTCAGTAAGGTTTAAGATATGGTATAGATTTAACTTACAACTTTATTACAATATTTTCATTACTTGAAACTTTATTTCAAAATAATATTTTCAAAAATGGCAGCTGTTGGCAAGTAGCTTGGGAGCGATTGTGGCGCACCGCGCCATTAATTGTCCTGAGGCCCCCTTATGATGTCATCAAAAGTGGAGTGACATGGGCCTGCCTCGGGCTTGACGGGATCGGTTCTACCTCCACACCGTCACGGTGTGGAGGTAGATCCGCTGGCCACTCATGGAGCTGGCCAGCGGACAATCAACCTGCACAGTGTTGTGTTCCACTGATGTGGTCGTACTAATCATTTGCATCTTATTGTTGCAGGCTGCAAGAGGAGACGTGATGGACACCATTGTTCTTCTGAAATCGAAAATAAAAGCTTCTCAGATAATGCATCTTTAAGCTGATGCTGTTCTTGTAACCGTAATATGAATTTTGGTGGTGGCGTTCCTTACGGGCAGGCACAAGACATGTCTGGAAACTTAGTAGGTAAGTTTGTATGGTCATGTGGGTGTGTGTAGTGTAGTGCCCTCCCCTGCCCGAGCACTCCGCGGGCTGGCGGCGGCGGCCGGAGCCGGTTTGACCTTTAGCCAGCAGGATCGGGTAACCGGCCCGGCCGCGGCGCCGCGCCCGGGGCGGGCAGACGGAGTGAGGTGCCCGCCGGCCAGCCGTCTGTAGGGGCGCCGGGCACATCAGTCGAGTTGAATGTTTGGTCTTGAGTTGTGCGAGTGATTGTATCATGTGTGAGTGCAATTATACACTACAAGTGGCGACGAGGATGAGATGTACCAGTCACCGGCACCACCGGAGTTCCTGTCGCGGCCGGGACAGCGTCCTGGGAGCTAGCGGCAGTGGTACGCGGACTTCTTGGTCTTGGCTGAGGCCAGTGGGTGGTTGGACTGGACGGACGGTCGTCGGACAGCGTTCCTGTTGACAGCAGTCGGAGCGGAGGCACGTCGACTCTACCGAGCTGCTGCTTAAGCTGACAAGCAGGAGAACATCGAACCTGGAGTAAGTGACACTGACACTTGCGGCGCTGGTGCTGAAGTTGTGTCTCAGTTCGATGCTGCTGTAGCTGTGTTGAGGAAACTGTTTGTTAGCGATTCTGATGTTTGCTCTGCTCGCTTGAAATTCCGGAAATGCACCCAAGGCCCTGATGAGTCATGTGTGATTTACCTGGCCAACCTCCGCGAGGCAGTGGCCTGTTGCAGTTATGGTCCCTTCACTGACGACATACTGCGTGCTCAGTTTATCGAGGGTTGTCGCTCCGACCAGCTTCGTGACATGTCGACATTCGACCTGGAAATCGGCGAAATTTTGCCTTCAATGACCTCTTGTGACCTGACCTTTGTTTGACCTGACCAAAAAATTGACCGATGTGATTTCGTCATTATTTTTGACGCTCTTTCGAACGCCGCCTTCCGCATATCGCTACGTGGCCCAGGAGCCGAGTTAGAAGGGAGGGGTGTTCAACCCCCCCCCCCCAGCAGGGCGTGGAAATCCAGGACCCCCAGTCGGGCGCGGGTTAATGGATACAAACTGATCAGTGATCATCGACCAACCTGGATCCATTAAAGGTAGTGTGCCAGCTTTCCTGGACCGTATGGAGTTAATGGCCCAGATAAGGAGAACCGGATTTTTAGAACTTATCCATACATTCAAAACTCATGGAAACGTCTTAAATTCTTCAAATTTTGAGTACCCCAGTGCGAAATTCGCCCCGACGGGTTGTCGGTCGTACCCCAACCACATTTCACACCACTATGAACAATAAATGCACACACTGAAATCGCTATTACCGATATGCTCATCCAATCAAGTTTCGATAAACCCGTTCATCATCATCTCCTGCGGTTTCGAACACGCCTGTTAGGTGGTGCGGTAGACCGCGCCCAAAGCCAGGGCCCCGGCTTGGGTCAGCGCACGCTGCCCCGACTCGGCTACCTCACGTTACCGGGGCCCTGGCTTTGGGCGCGGCTTCTGCTCATACTTTGTGGTGCGGTGGTGGTGCGTCGGGCCGCGCGCTCTGACTTCGGCCAAGAAAAATGCGTCAGCTGATCATTGTCATTTCTGCCACTTGCGTGTGGTGAAATGGGGTCATAACTTAACCCTCGCACGACCAGGCCATTTCTCATAACACGAACGACCAGGGGGGGGGTTGTTACGACCCCCCCCCCTGGCGTTTCGAAACGGAAGGTCGTAGAGCTTAGCGGAAAAAACCAACGGATTGCTCTCAACGAGATCTCGCGATTGGTGGTATATTTTTTGGTCCTAGGTCAACATTTGACCTACTTTTGACCGGTCAAAGGTCAAATTTTCGGAAAAATAGACTTTTTTCAACTTTCGGCGGCGATTGCGGCAAAACGGTGGGAAATATCGACTTGAAACCTTCACTATCGTATTCCTTGATCAATTCTCTATCGTTTGGTATGTATTTCGTTTCCCTAGCTCTAAAAATGGCGCGTTGGGAGCGCCGGAAGTCGGCAAGGTCACAGTCGGCGGCAGAAATTCGAAAAATCAAAATTTAAATTTTTGAAATCTGATTGTATTTTTGGATTTGGGTGGTCCATTTGCTCCCTATAGAAGCTAATATTGCTGCATATTCCCATTGAGGTGACAAGAATTAGCAAAATAGTGGTTCGGGCGCTTTTCAAAAATAGTACCGGACGCTGTTCCTCTTGTGACGTCATAGCTCCGTGACCTGACCTGACCCGGTCAAATTTCTTATACCATATGATAGCCAATACTTGCCCCAACATGCATGGGAAGTTTCATCACGATCCATCAACCGATGTCCGTACCACCGGCAGGAAACCTCGGGCGTTGGCACTCAGTTTGTGAAAATCCGGCCGGAGGCTGTACCTCTTATGACGTCATAACTCCGTGACCTGACATGACCCGATCAATTTTTTTCGGCAAAAGATGCGCAAAGGTTGCCCCAGAGGGTATTGAAAATTTCAGCCCGCTACGACAAGCCGTTTAGCGTGCACTTCGAAAAAACCTCAGGGGGGGGTTGATACAACCCCCCCCCTAGGCGTTCTAGGGTTAAGAGACGGCTTTTTCATATCAATTATTTTACATAAAATCATATTTCAAACCATAAATAATGTTCGACAGCCAAATAAAAGAAACAATACCAATACAGGCTTACAGTTTAAGGCTCGACATTGTGTTGTCTACGATTAGACAGCTGATAACTCATTCCCGTACGTCGTAACTCTATAATGACCTTTGCTTATTGTCACATGTGCGCCGCATTCGCGATTGTTGCCGACGCCTGTTTGCAGGCCAGCCCACTACAGTTGTTATACATATCGAAAAACCGATAAACTTTTAGGCGAAAAAGCCACTATTCCAGGCCCATTTTTGATTTTCTTTGCGATATTAGGTAAAAACAGAAGCTTCTTATCCTAGGAAAAATAAAATGGGAAATCTTTCAAAGGTGGCACACTGCCTTTAAGTTATCTTCAGAGGCTGTTGTACTTCGCCAGACCGTTTGAAAGCTGACTAGGCCGTTTTCAAACTGTCTAGACCGTTTCAAACTGCCTAGGCTGTTTTCATACGGCCTGATATTTCAGGCGGTTTGCAAACGGCCGGCTTTTTCAGGCCGTTTTCAAACGGCCTGACTGGGCCAGGCCGTTTGCAAACGGACTGGGTTTTCATACGGTCTGTAACAACAGCCTAGGCAAAAAAAAAAACAGCCTAGGCAGTTTGAAACGGTCTAGACAGTTTGAAAACGGCCTAGTCAGCTTTCAAACGGTCTGGCTAAGTACAACATCCTCTGAAGATAACTTAACGTATCCAGGTTGGTCGATGATCGCTGATCAGTTTGTATCCATTAACCCGCGCCCGGCTGGGAATCCTGGATTTCCACGCCTTGCTGGGGGGGGGAGGGGGGTTGAAAACCCGTCCTTTCTAACTCGGCTCCTGGGCCACGTAGCGATACGCGGAAGGTGGCGTTCGAAAGAGCGTCAAAAGTAATGACGAAATCACTTCGGTCATTTTTTTTGGTCAGGTCAAAGGTCAGGTCACAAGAGGTCATTGAAGGCAAAATTTCGCCGATTTCCAGGTCGAATGTCGACAATTTCCAAGAAGCCAACGCATAACTCGGGAACCAATGGAGCTACAGCGCCGCGGAAAAGCGCATTCGATAGCCCTGTTAACGCCCTTTCTGAGTAATTCTCGCAGATTTGATCTAACGTCAACGGTTATGACTGCAGGGGCAAAAACTGCAAAAATAGCCGATTTTTTTCGGAAAAAAAGGTTTTCTGCAATAACGTTTGACCCAAGCCTTGTACGAGCTTACTTTTACCGGCATTGTGTTTCTCTCGTCAAGACGCATCGAATGAACTATAACTTGACCTGGATAGGTCAACTTGAAATTTGACCTCAGGTCAAGGTCATGACCTGACCGGAAAGGGTCATGTTGCATATCAGTCGATCCGTATCGTCGAGCTGAACACATCTAAGGCGTTTTCATCGCTCTAGCATGCCTCTATCAAAAGTTATTTGCGAAAAACTGTTAGATACCATTCGTGACCTAAGATGACCTCAGGGGCATAAACAGGGGTCACGGACACCATTTTCATGCTTAGTGTGTCTAAATCACTTGTAATTCAGTGTTTGGGAGTGTTTATAATGTCTTTCGTCCAAAATAGGCGCATTTCAATTTTCTCCCATTGACTTATAATGAGGAGGTCGCAAAATTGACCTGACCTTAGGTCATCGATATCAAAATTCTGAGATATACATTTTATACATGCTATTGCTCTTAGCAATCGCTGAAAGTTTCAAAGCGATCGGTCACTCGGTGTAGCTATGGCAGACATTGAAACTTTTTATGAGGTGAGGTTGTGGTGACCCACATCCCTGAGCGGAGGTGCACACAATACTTGAGTTTGTGCTGTATGTGTAATTGTAATTTTGGTTCAGCGAAAAATGTAAAAAAGATTAGATATTCAGAATCACTTCAAATACAAAAGGTCATGTTTCTAACTGCAAATAAAACTTAAAACTAAAAGTATTATTTTAACTCATACCATTAACCCATAAACTGGTGACCCCGACGTGATTTTTACATTGCTACATTGCCTAATACTATTCCTAGTTGATAGGGAATAGATATTCTACAACAGCAACAATGGAAGGAGAACCGGAACAGGTTGCAGGTTCCGTGATGCTTTCTAACGTAAAGCCGCCGGCGTTCATGGACACAGCCGTCGAAGGTTGGTTCGCCATAATGAATGCACAATTTCACCTGGCTCGCATCACAAGCACTCAGTCCAAGTTCTACCATGTTCTGGCGGCCCTTCCTCCTGATACGGTCAGCCGCCTCGACCCAGACGTACTCTCCAAAACGTCATTCGATGACCTGAAACAAGCCGTGATCGGTCTGTATGCTCAATCGAAGCCGGAGCTATTCGAGCGTCTTATAAGCAAGACACAGATGACCGGACGTCCATCAGCATTCCTGCATGAGCTCCGAGACA